AATTTATCTCAGTCAATATTAATTTCTCAATTAATAGTTTCTCTAATATATTATTTACTAATTATATAGATTTCTTAGATTATATTTCTCTATTAAATAATTTTTACAAATATAATCATCATTAGTCCCTCTTCTTGAACTGATAATAATTAATTGTTTTTAACTTTTTCTCTTATATAATTTAGTAATGATGATTGCTCAGTAAATCTTTATGATCAGAATCAGACAGGACAATTAGTTAATCTGATAGGAGCTAGTTCTTCTAGCAAAAAGTATTAGGTAGCAATTTTTTACTTTTCTACTTATGTATACATTTTGGGATTTTTATGTATTTTTTTACTGAATTTAATTTTTTCTAATAAAATATTGCATTACCATATCTTAAAAAAAATAATTACAAAAAATATAAAATTTAGTTTATTGAATTTACCATATTAAGATCTATTAAATAATAGTATTTTTATATTTCTGAAATTAATAGATAGTAGGATATATGAGTTTAAAATTTTAATTTTTTTATAATAATTTATTATTTATTTATATTTAAAATATTACTATTTAATTACATTTTTTTTTTAATTTTTACTTAGAAAACATTATAAATTTATTATAAAAGTATTGATTTTTAATAATATTTTTAAAATATTTAAAAATAATTAAAAATGAATGTAATTAATAAATAAAATTGCTTATAAATTTGTAGGCAAAACAGTTGAAAGAACAATCTTACATTTTTTAATTATATTATTTTATAATTTATAATACTTATAATTTATTCTATTATTCTATTATATATAAAAGGATTAATTTAAAAGTTTTAATATTAAAAATCTAATAAAGATTAATTTAAGAAAATGATTATAATAATTTAAAATAAAAACTTTATAAATACATGATATTAATTTATTTAATATTTATAAATATTATAATATAAAGTTATGAATAATAATATAAATATTAAATTTAGTAAAACTTGTATTAATAATATAAAAAACTATTAAATAAATTAATTTTTAATATGTAATTAGAAAATAATATGCAATTAGATTAATATTTTAAAAGAATATTTTAATAAATATAAAACAAATTATATTAAATAATTAAGATTAGAATTTTTAAGAAAAATATAATATAAATTATTAAAAAGATTTAATATCAATCTTTAAACTTTCTTTTTATAAATAATTTATAATTAATAATAATAAAGAATAATAGTAATTAAATTAAGATTTACTTTTTCTTATAAATAATTATACTTGAAAATACTGCTTGTGAAATTTCAGACAAAACATATATTACTTTAAGTAAAATCATAGATACTATTTAAGAATTGATTTTTAATTTGGCTGATTTTTCAGTATTCATACCTATTAATTCTTCAAAAGATAATATAGTAAAAGAAATTATTGAAATATTAATAACTAAAGTTGATGATAAAGGAGTAGTTAGTAAATATACAAAAAGAAAATTTCAATCAAAATCCTTTGAATACAATTGAAATTTTAAATAAGTTTAAGGTGAATAAAACTATTTATTAATTTATTATTGGGATATTTCAAATAATGACAGTTATTTAGCCCCATTATTAGATCTGTATTACAAAATCTAAATTATTTAGAAATTGATAAAAAAAATCGCATTATACAAAAATTTTATGATGAGTATGAATCAATAAAAGATGCTTCTACAACAATTTTTTTAACGTAAATAAAAGCACTTATTTATATAAGCAATATTATTAAAATCATTTTGATAAAAAAAGAAGAGTAACAAATGAACTTTCTGAAGAAAATGAAATATCAAAATATTTAGCAATGCCAATGGCTTTGGAAGTAAAAAATTCATTAGAATGGTGCACAAAATTTTCCAATTTTTTCTCAACTTGCTTAAAAATATTTGAGAGAGTTTCTAGAAAAATCAGGTTCTGAGAAATGTTTGACTTAAATTAAGAGTTTAATACATTTTAATCTAATAACATCAAAAAACTAAAATGCAATAAAAATCTCAATTTTGTTAAAAAATTCCCAAAACCTGATTTTTCTAGCAATCAACCTATTTAGCTATATCTGCTACTTTTGTAGCAAGTAAAAATCTATTTTTAAATGCTAGGCACCTCATTTTTCCTTTTAAAAATCATCAATCTTGCATTAGTGACTAAAATGTTTTTTTAAAACTTAACATAAAGATTTGAGTAGTGTTCTAAGACATGATAATATATTAATATATTATTATGTCCTAGGATACTACTTACTCCAGACTATTATGTCCTAAGATATCATAGTTTATCAATTAATATGTCCTAGAACACCATAGTCTATTGATTATTTTGTTCTAAAGATGGGGGCTGTTTTCCCTTTCTGTGACCTGTTAGTTAGTAAATATGAATGAGATGTGTGCCTATTTGGTTGCCTGTTAAATGCCAAATTATAATAAAAAAATATATTAGGTGGCGTAGTAAATTCGTGATTAATTTTGGCTAGCATTATACCATAATTCTGGCAGATCTTTAGAACATGTGATTCAGAGATCCAGTTTGGTGCCATAATAGTAACCTGCTAGTATCCTGGAGCTGTCATAGAACTGGTGAGAAACTGGCTGAAATTATGGTATAGTGTTAACTGAAATGATTGCAAAAGAGATACACTATGTATCTTGTTAGGAGAGTCATATGATAGTGTTTCCAAAGGGCTCAGTGACAGGTGATTCTTTATGCATGTATTGTTAAGAGAATCATATAATAGTGATCCCAAAGGGCTTAATATCAGATGACATCCAGTGTAAAAATGTGCAATGTCAGATGATCGTAATTTAGTGTACCTTAAATTCAGCCAGAATTATAAATTGGTGTTAGTCGAAATTATCATAATTTACTACGCCTTCAGTTCTGAGCACTTTCCCGTTACTTTCTTGTCACTTGTTCGCAACCTTCTTGTTACTTTCGAAGGATATTTGGGTTTCAGTCTGGTGTTTCAATTGATTAGAAAATCAGAGGTATAATGTGGCAATAGTGTGATACTAGCAATGCAGTACTGTCTCTAAGTACAATATACATTGAGTACATACTAGTGATTGGGTATTTTTCTGCCAATATTTTTGCACGCTTGCCTACCCTAGATGTTATATATGCTCAGGTACACACTAATAATAGGGTATTCTTTTTCTATTATTTTATATAAAGATTCCAAAAAAGAATACCCTGGATGATACCTATTAAGAATGCATTTATTCCTGGCCCCTTTACCATCTTGCTATATGCCTCTTTTTTGCATTTATCAAAAAAAACTGTCAGAGACTATACCTGGGATATATCTAGAAAAAATGTAGCCTTCTTCCAATTTTTATATAATAATTCTGAAGAAGGTTTCATATCATACTCGAGTACATATCTAATAAGAATAAGTCTTATGCGGAGGTTATACCATTCTTAGGATATATCTAGGAAGATAAAGGCTTCTGCCATTTTCATATAATATAATTCTGCAAAAGCATTCATATCATATCTGGATATATATCTAGGAAGGATAAGTCTTACACGAAGACTATACCATATCTGAGTATATATCTAGAAAGTATAAGTCTTCTTTCAATTTTTTATATAATAATTATGAAGAAGACTTATCATCTGAATGTATATCATTTTGCTTTTCTTTTGTATTTTACTTACTGTATTTACTATTACCTCTTTTTTGCAACCATTGAAAAAAATAAATTAAACATTTCCAAATTTTATAGAGATAGTATAACTTTTCGAACTAACATCATGCATATACTAACTAATTTTGACCAAACTGATCGCTCTGAAACTGCCTTCTCATTTATTATAATAACGTCAGCCTCTTAACTGGTATTCCATCATGTAATGATATTGTGATAGAATTCGATAATGAGATGACCGTTATATTTCAACAAAGCCTATCTGGCAAGCAACCCATATATTTCATGCTTACTGAAGTTAGTGATGATACCTCTGAATATATAAATGGTATCTCCTCCTATATTTTGCGTATTACTAGTACTTTGATTAATGGACAAAAAGCAGTCGTAAAAATTATAGGCATTAAGCCTTTCTTTGATGTCGAAGTACCTGAAGAGATGCCACTATTTACATTTAAGATCAGATTAGTAAATATATTATCCAATACTCTTAAAGGTACATCAAAATTTGGGATTGAGAATATTAGTGCTTTCCCACTTCAAAGATATCATACAGAGAAAAAATTATATATACGTATTATTACTTGAAATCAATTTGACCGGTATAATGCGTTAAAGGCAGTTCATGAAATCAGTATCTGTATAGCTTCTGATGATCTAACCCAATATATTATTACCACAAAGTGGCCTGTGAAGAAAAATTACCACTTTCAAGCTGGGCAGTATTAACTAACTATTCATATACACTATCAGAAAATGGTTATCTCTTCCAAATATCCATGGGTAATTACAGCTCAATAAGCGATGAGGATTATAATAATCTATTAATCTTTTTAGCCCTTGTAAGGGATTGAACTCTGGTTCTCACATAGGATATAGAGATATATAGTTCGCTCAGACTAGGTAAATTCCCTACTACATAGAGTGATAAATTTAACGTGTTCATGATTTGCATGACAGTTCATTGAAAAGATGACCCTAATCCATTAAAACAGATCTGTCTTGTCAATGTTGAAACTGCCCCAGATCCACATAGGATAACAGTTGTATGTGGAAACCAAACTAATTTACTGAAAGCATTTGCATTATGTTAGAAGAATCTAACCTCAGATATAGAAGTAGGTTTTAACATTTTACAATATGATTGGAGATTCATTATGGAGAAGGCGAAAAAGTTAGGGGTTTTCGAATAGATATTCAATCAAATGTTATTAAAGTCTTCAAGCCTCAAAAAAATTATAAAATGGTAATACCAATATAACGCAATAAAGGTTAATGATATACCATTTCATTCAAAGCATCTCAAAATCCTGAGATGCGTAGCTATTGATGTCCGATCTTGCTTTATGAAATTTTATTCTAAGGCTGAAAAGAGTAGTTTAGCATTCTACCTAAATGAATGCGGGTTCGAAAGTAAATTGGATATGCCTTTTAACTGCATGTTCAAGTATTACAAAAATGCACTAAAAAAGGCAGATGCTACAATAGCTGAACAAATACGTGAAATAGCTGAATATTGTATCATTGATGCCCTTAGTTGCCAACAGTTAATGATTAAGCGCAATGTGATTAATGAGTACAGGGAGGTTGCAAGTATAGCCTTTATTTCATTATCAGATGCGCATTATTTTGCAATAGGGATGAAAGTGAGCAATCTTTTAAGTATTAGTGCATAGCGGAAAGGAATTTTAACCAGTATAATTTCAGAATGAACAGAAATAGAATCATTTCCAGGTGTCTATGTCTTTTCACCAATAAAAGGACTCGAAAATAGACGTCCTGTAACTGGCTTAGACTTTGCATCATTATATCCGAGTCTTAGTATGACTTACAACCTCTCACCTGATAAAATCATTTTATCTCGAAAACATGCTGAATCTCTGAGAGACAGTGGCAAAACGTTCTATAAAATTAATTTCAAATTCAATGGTAATAATGTTCTTGCATGGTCTATAAAATATAATAACATTCCTGAAGAAAAGGGTCTCTATGCCAATGTGCTGGAATATTTATATCGTAAATGGATTGAGGTGAAAAAATGTCTCGCTTCTCTGAAAGATAAAAAAGAAGACATAGAACTGGTAATAGGTTTAATGGTAAAGGTTTATCATTACCAGAAGCTATCGAGCAGGTTTTAGCAAATGTAGAAGGAAAAAAACATGCCAATCTTAGTGAAAAACTATACCATTTTATTAATATAGAAAAGCATGAATTCATGGCAGAATACATTTCAGTTTGTTTCGACTATTCTTGTTTAGATGCGGAACAAAATGCTCTTAAGGTATACATGAATTTATTTTATGGTACAGCTGGAGATAGTAAGTCTCCTTTCTTCTTGCATGAACTTGCTGGAGGTGTCATATCTACCAGGCGGAAAAATATTAAACTTGTTGCAGATTTCGTAAAAAGTAGGGGTTTTCAGATAAAATATGGTGATACTGATTCCTTATATCTAATCTGCCCAGAAGAATGCTTTCAGGAATGCGATGAGGCATATGATAGTAGTAATGGGATCCTGATAGAAGAATATTGATCTAGAATAGTGGAAATCTCTATGAAAGTAATTGAAAAACTTCGTGATGATGTCAATGACTTTCTCAAAAAAGATAACGGTTTTTTTTATCTCAAAATAGCGTATGAAGAAGTTTTATTCCCTGTAACATTTACTGAAAAGAAGAAATACTACAGCATTCCACATATAAAAAGGCTGAATTTTAATAACAAACTTTTCATTCAGGGGTTGAGACTGTAAAACGGGAACAGTCTGGTATTTTTTGCAAAATAGAAAAATGTATTATGGAAGAGTCTACGAGAGTAAACAATACACGTATCTTGCATCAGGTTGTAAAGGATGTGCTCAAAGAGACTGTAAGGGATATTTCGCAGACAGATCTTAATGAAATAATAAAAACTGCTATATGGAGGCCCGATAAAAATAACAAGAGTGTATAGCACTTCATTTCACGAATGCAAGATAGACATACCTGTGAAGAGGCAGATGCCAAATAGCTCATAAAAAGGGCCTAACACCTGAGCCTTATCTTTATGAAATCCCAGAATCAGGCGAGCACTTTGAATATGTTGTAGTTGAGAATGATTTATCACAGAAGGTAGGTGACAAAATGGAGTACCCAGAAGTGGCAAGATGTCTTGAAAAAAAGGTCGATATTAACTATTATCTGAAAAGTGTTGTCAGGTTCTATGCATGTTTTATAAATTATGATAATATGCATCAGCTATCATCTGAAACTTTGCTGGAAGCCTTAAAAAGTTAAAAGATGGTAATAAAGCGGATGACAGTAGGGCAGATGAAAATGACCTAAACAAAGACAAAGAGGATGAAGATGAATTGGATGAAGATGTGATATCGAAAATAAGAAATGCCCTAGCGCAGAAATCAGCTGAAAAGTGAGTTAGAGACTATATCAAAAACATTCATAAAAGCCCGAAAAAAGATGAAGCCATCATATCTCATCTATGAAAAGGAGCCCGCATTTACGCAAAAAAATTATTCGATACTACTTATGCTAATAAAATAGAAAAACGCTCAGGATATAATGCTTATTACACTTCCTTTCTCAATGCGTTACATAAGCAAGAGGAATCTATCCACTTAAAACTTTCATTATTGCTTAAAGAAATTTCTGAGATTGATATAGAGTATAGAGAAAGTATGAATAAATTAGTTACTAATAAGCGAGTAATGTCCTTAGAACAATATTTAACATCATATTATTTGGATGAGTGTAAACTATTAGCAGATTTCTGAAACATATGATACAAAGTAGTTGGCCTAGAAATCACACACTACTGAACATTGTCAAAATTACAGGATAGCAAAAAAGATAATTCATCTGAATCAGATATAGATGAGATTATTGAATTATATGGATAAGTACTCTTAGCGAGATGTAGCAATTTTAGCTAAGAAACTTAGGCGTTAAGGCGCTTCGCATAATATTATTTACATATTTTTTCTCGTGTAATAATACTGACTAACTTCAATTTCTATCTTCGAATTTCCAGCCTCTAATCATACAGCCCAGCGTCAGAAATACTCAGAGACGATAAAAAATAGTTCTGGTTAGGAGAATACTTAGTATTACTTTTTTTCCTTGAATTTCACCATTTCCTGACTACGAACCATATAACCACAATCAGTAGTAAAGCAAGTATGGCATATGGCATTAAGGAACTTTTAACGACTGGTGCAATTCTAGAGGGACCCGCTAGAGGCATTACTTAAGGTGATGGTACCACTTCTGCACTACCTGATTACTTCGCAACCCCTTCTCTCGAAATAGACTTTTCAGAATGTGCTAGTTGACTATGAACGGATTGATTGGGTAGGGTATCTGTCTGGCTTTTCGAAACCACCCCATCTCGAGATAATAGTTCTTGCAAAGCCTCTAAAATATCTTTCTTAGTATACTCTTTATCAAGTTTCATAACTTTATCTTCAAGATCACACTTATAGACGAGAGGTCTTAGATCATCACTGATCCAGCCTGGTAATTTTTGTGATGAATCATTCATAGAGGGGGGTAGCGGATTAGAGAGATCTACTATCTCATTATCTTTTTTTGAGATTTGATCCCTGAGGGACTTATTTTCCTTCATTGAATTTAATCGCGCCTTTCTCAAAGCATTTATTTCCCGACTGGTTATCTCATGTGTCGCTTCTATCCCTTTTTTCATACATTCTATTTCATGATTTTTGAAATTAAGGTCCTCCTTTACCCGTTCTAATTTAAGCCTAAGAGAATCGATCTCTTTAGGATCGGATGACTTACCTTCTAATTCACGTACTTTAGCTTCAAGAAAAAGAATCGTATTCTTATTAAGGGATGAAGCTTTCTGGAACAAAGTCGTCTTTCTCTTCAGTGTTTTAATCTCTGATTTGAGCGATTAGATTTCGGCAGTATATTTGGCTTCAAGCTTACATTGACTCTTAGAATGAGACTTTCGTTCAGAAATAAGTTGGGATCTAATCTTAGTACTAGATGTAATTAACTGGCTAGCTTTATTTTCAAAATCAGCATAGATTCGCTGAAACTCCTTTTCTCGCTCATTGTACTTATCTACCAGCTTTTCACTGAGATCATTAATCTCAGAGTTAAATTCAGTAACGGATCTTAATTTTTTTTCGAGCTCTTGCTTATATGCACTATCCAGCCGATAACTGGGTTTTTTATAAGAACCACCCTCTCTATCTTTTATATCATTCAATGTATGCACATTGGACATAATATTAGCATGGTTATATATTAGAAAAAAAAAATGCACAAATAAATTTCTGAGATAATAGACCTAATCTGTTTATTTAGAATAATACATTCTTTCTAAATATCCTATTTATCCTGTATATCTTATACGTCTGGAATATTATCTTCTTATGTATCCTGTATATCCCATATTTTCAGAATAATACATACTTTCTATATATCCTATTTAATAAATTATTTTAGAGTATTATATCAGATATAAAAAAATATTGCTACCATGCTCAGACAACGTATGAGATGTGATGCTCCTCCTTTTTCACCAGCTGATTATGATCATATTATGCAATGTACTGAAAAAAAGCCTAGAGATAAAGTTTTAAAAGATTTAACAGATAAATATCGCACATCACAAAAACGTATTTATCAGATCTGGAGAAGTGAAGAAAAAAATAGGGTTGTGTGAAATCAACTAATTCATATGCTAACAGCTTTGCTTTCTAACATAAATGTTGTGGGTGAACGGACCAAGCCAGAAATCCAAGACCAAGATGTTTCTCCATTTGCAAAACTGGAAAAACAAATACGTGATGGTAAGATAGGGCCTAGCAAATCTATTGATTCAGTTTTAGAAGAAGGTGGAAAGGTAAAAAAGACTGGAGGGAAGAAATTGAAGTTCAAATCTGCCTTAGCAAAAATAATACCATCTCCTGTCCAGACTCAACCGATCCCCACATCGCATGAGAAGGTGGTAGAAAGAAGCATAAAAATTATAGCAAATATTAAGAATATAGTAGAAAAATAACTTGTTTATTCTCTAAGAAATTCATAATAACATGTCTGTAATCTTTCATAATACTTATTGATTTCTGCATTATACTTAAAAGTGTTATATAGCATTTTTTCAAATTCCTTATAACTCACTTTTTTTTAATGTACCATCTTCACTTAAATCTTGCGAAATACAGTCCAGGGTCGAGGATTCATCACATTCAGGAGTAGTAGTTACACAATTTACCTTGAGCTTGTTCTTGACTTTATGCATGGTAACTGAAATAATTAAATCCTTGTCATTATGAAAAATCTTTAATTCATCTTTGTTCCAGTTAATTGCACATTTATATTTTTTAAGAAGAGGGTTCGAAAATATTAGCATTAGCTTAGAGTATTTTACAACTATAAAATCTTCATATATAGTAAAGCTCTAAACGGTTCAGATTAATCCGAAAATTTTCGGTTCAGATCAACTTCAATTCAGTTTCAGATTGCAAAAATTTCAATCCAAAATTTCGGATTGTTTAGAATGATGAAATTATCGTTCCAAATGAACGATAAAAGAATCGTTCAATTGGAACGATTAAATTATCATTCTAAATGAACGATAAAAGAATCGTTTATTTAGAACGATTGAAGTTATCATTCCAAACAAACAATAAGAAAATCGTTCGATTGAAATGATCAAATTATCATTCCAAATGAATGATAAAAAAATCATTTATTTGAAACGATTGAAGTTATCGTTTCAAACGAACAATAGAAAATCATTCAATTGGAACGATCAAATTATCGTTCTAAAAGAACAATAAAAGAATCGTTCGTTTGAAATGATTGAAGTTATCGTTTCAAACGAATAATAAAAAAATCATTTTAAACGAATGATAAGAAAATCGTTCGATTAGAACAATCAAATTATTGTTCCAAACGAACGATAAAAGAATCGTTCATTTGGACCGATTGAAGTTATCGTTCCAAACGAACAATAAAAAAATCGTTCATTTGGAATGATTGAAGTTATCGTTCCAAACGAATGATAAGAAAATCATTCGATTGGAACAATTGAAGTTATCGTTTCAAACGAACGATAAAAGAATTATTCAATTAGAACGATTAAATTATCATTCTTTTGGAATGATAAAAAAATCATTCTAATTGAACGATAAAAAATCGTTCATTTAGAATGATTAAAGTTATCGTTCCAAACGAACAATAAAAAATCGTTCATTTGAAACGATTAAAGTTATCGTTCCAAACAAACGATAAGAAAATTGTTCATTTAGAACAATTGAAGTTATCATTTCAAAAGAATGATAAAAGAATCGTTTCAAATGATCCAAAATTTCAGATTAATCTGAAATTTTCGGTTTAGTTCGAATTTTTACCGGTTTACAGTTTGGTTCAATTTTGGATTGGCATTTTTAGGATTTATAATCTGAACTGAATTGAACTGAAATTTTCAGATCGGTTTTAGATTGGCCTATAATCCAGACTGAACTGAACTGTTTAGAGCATTAATATATAGTAAATCCAGGAGCTAAGGTTATCAGTAAATTGTGAACGACTCCAATAGATTCAACCGGCACAGTAGCAATACCACTAAGATCATGTTTTATGGATTTGTCGATTCCATATCCTACGCGTTCAACAATATCAGGTATTATAATGGGAAGTTCAGCACAAGAGTCCAGTGCTATAGCTGGAATTTTAAGACGCTTAATCTTGCATTTTATAGATGCAATGCTTGTGGTGGGCTCCTTCTTTTTGACGAAATCTATCTCCATGGGTCCATCTAAAACATCCTCTTCATCTGAATCTTGAGCTAAGGTAGGTACACACTTTTTAGCCTACTGAATTATGTATAGAAGATAATTCTCAAATTCGATTTGAATGATTTTGCG